CGCGAGCTGCACCGCGGGGTCTAGTCGCGGTATCTGCAAGCACGCATCATTGAACCGCTTGATGTAGCCCCGAATGGACTCTCCTTCCCTCTAGACTACTCCGAAGTTGCTTTCCTCGGTTCTGAGGCACCGCTTGCTGGTAACGAAGTGTGCGGAGAAGACCTGCACGAACTGAGTTTAGCTTCTTATTGACCCGGGGGCCAGGTTCCTGTACCAAGTGCGGGCCACCCCCCTGAAGGTGGTGGTGAAGGCCACGCACATGCACGATTCACTGGCCCTGGCTAGGTGCATTTGGGACTGGAAGCCATCGACATGGTCGTTGGGGTCAAAGGAACCATCATACTTGTTTGGAGGGGGAGCTTGAAGTCTCTGGGCATGGGGACTGCAAGGAGTTCTGATGAGAGGGGGGAAGGAACTGAGAGAATAGGGGTAGCTTTTACCTTGTCCGAGCTTGTCTCTTTTTTACCTCTGAGCTCGGGTAGGACATGGGTGGCAGTTCGGCGACCTCACCGGCGCCTTCGTTGCTGAGTGGGCCTGGTACTGGCGCTGCTGGCCTCTATGTTGCCGAGCTCGATGGGCCCGGACTATTGGTTGTCTGCCGCTAGGACGCTGAATCGATTTTCTGTCAGCGGGAGCTCAGACTTGGATTGCCGAGATACTGACTTGGGGGGCGAGGTTTTCGACCTGCCGGCGAGCTGTGAGGCAGGGGTGATTTTTCTTTCCCCTCAGCCCGGGGATGAGGCCTGGCTCTTGTGGGGGTTCTGAAGTTGGGAGACTTCTCCTCGGTGATGGTGTCCACCCAGAGGGGAGGGCTTAACCAGCTTTGGAGCAAGGTGCCGAGGTGGAAGCAGTGGTTGGTTCAGAGGCAGTTAGGGGAACTGCTGGTGATAGTGATACTGAGAGACGTGGTGCAGTACTTGGTGCTACTGGAGCTGATGTTGCTGGAATTGTTGCATTTGGGCTTGCATTGCCCACATGCTTTGCATCAGGTCGTCCCACTGGTTCTGGCTGGTCGCCAGGTGGACAATAGTTGGTTCAGTAAAGGTTGTTTCGACAGGGAGAGGAAAGGGGACGTTCTTGGCTGGAAGGTTTACGGGCGCCACTATTCGTGGCGATTCAAGGTTGGGGATTCCATCCACCGGAAGGGGGATGGTGAACTGTCCAATGCACACCACGGGGACTTGAAGTTGTTCCCCAGTGGTGTTCCTCTCCGTGCCACATCCGACATTGCTGGAAGAAGCCATGAATGTTGGGGTTTTTTGGAAAAAAGAGGTTATGAGAGTTTTGGAGGGAGGCTTTTAGAAGCGTTTCCCATTGACGACGCCAATTGATGGTGCACAATCCGACGGGTCCTAGTTGTCACAGATCTTGCCTCGGGCTGGAGTAGAAGGTGCCTGAAACGAAGGGGAAAGAGAGTAATCTCCGGGGAAGAATCCGGTGAGTTTGCTCCGAAGCTCAAGTTAGTATTTCCTCAAGGGCAAGATAAAACCAGATGGTGCAAAGTTCACATACCTTGTTCTTGGGGGGTAGAGAGCCTTTTGTGACCACTTCGCGCACTCACTCCTAAGCTTCTGTCAGGTCGGGTATGATTACTTATGCGCTTCTGCCAGTTCGGGTGTCATCACCTCTGCTGGGGCAGAACCGCCACTACTCTCTTTGTCGGAGCCGTCTCTGTAACTGGAGATGGCGGTGGCAGTTGGCCATTGAAGTGCGACTGTCAAGCGTCAGATCCCAAGTCAGTCAGGTGCGTTGCCCTTGGATACAGACTCCTTCGGTGTCAGGTACGGTGCGGTTTGTTTAGTTCGGCATCCTGGAGGCGAAGTGCTAGAGTGGTGTGCGAGGTGAAGTCTTGAGTTTGGATAGAGGTGTGGCCCGAATTTGCCATGGGGCAGGTCAGTTTGGGTTGTTGCCCTTTGTGTTGGTAAGGCTCGGGGTCTAAGGGAGAGCTCGGGTTCCTTACGGGCAATTCGGGCTCCTTGTAGAGAATTCGGACCGCTGGATCTTCCTTTCAGACCTCGCGCCTTGGGCATGCTATTGTGCCGAACTATTGCCTTTGCCACGTGTTGAATAGTTACGAGATCGGGCCAAAATCTTCTTTCATCAATAAGAGTTAGTAAAAAAAGCTTTCCAAACGCCTCATTAGGTTTTCTGAGTAATTCCGCCAAATAACCTAACAATTTAGACTTTGAGCTAAGTTAAGTTAATTGAATTTAAGGTTGAGTTGGAGGAGGGTTTTAAACTCATAACGATGCCAATCCAATAGATTTGCTTCTTTGATAAGTAACTCGAGGAACGGTAGCTTCACATTATGCTTCGTTGATTAGTCTGTCTTCTAAAGGTTTTAATATTACAGGTTACGACGACTTCAAGGCTTCAAGCTGTGTGGGAAAACGGTAAACCCAGTATTCTGCTCATCTGCTGTTTGTAACTGTAAGTTGAGAAATGCAGCAAATCGTTGACCTTAAGCCCACAATCCATTGGTCCTGATTCCGGAGTCCAATCCAAGCTCAGAACCTATCTCCACCTTCAGTTCAAGGCTTCAAGCATTAAAAAAAAAAAGAAAAAAAATCGAATCATTTATGAAGTACCTACGGATCTACGATGACGCTCGCTCGTCTCTTAAATCAAGTTAAGGTGACCAACTACTTCCCTTCGAGCACTCTGGACTGCCTCACTGGCATTTATGAAGTCAATGACGATGTTGTTGGACACCTTTGAAATTAATCTATGTCAATACGCAATTTATAAACTGCAGATTAATAATGCCTCCATGGATCAACTGTAATTAATGACTCTTTAAAGTCTCACTGTCTAAAATCTGTTCATAACAAAGAGGAAGCTTCTCTGGCTTGGCAGTAGTTTGATGTACTGATTGCATCTCAGCCGTCAAATAGTTGAGGAGGATTAGATACCATTTCGATACAACCTAGGCCTATACATATATATATATATATATTTATATATTTGTAGTATTTATGTAGTGTGTTTAAATAACAGAGAAGGGAAGCTCTGGACCTGTGTCCACCTATATATGTATACTATTAATTTTATGCTAACCCTATCCAAGCATAGACTTGTAGTAATAAAGGTAGCACTCACATATCTAACTCTGCAATTAATGTATTCCCGTCAGATTACCTTTGTCTACACAGCATGTGTCTCATTCGGATTGGCGAATTGAAAGTTGAAACTACAAAGGTACCTCAAAACTAGATTGGTTTGAGGCGGTTGATGCCTAATTTTCACCACTAAATGCAGCCATTTTGAAGTAATGGAATGAATTCGTCCAACTGAACACTGCCCTCATTGCTGCTGCCTGGTTTCTTTTACAAGTCAATTTGCACTTTCTTTTCAGTCTTTGAATGAATAAGGGAAGGGGGTATTACAAGTTTACAATGTTGTTACCCCGTCCACCCGTCCAGGAATTACTCTCTACGTCTCTATATAGAAAAAAACAAAAGTGGAAAATAAATTTAACATTTTTTTTTCTATTAATCAATCACATCAAATAGAGTTGGGGGTTTGGGGCCGGGAGGAAAGGGTGACACTGGCTTTCCGTAAGGTAAGGTTGGTGGAGCATACCATTGATGACTCATGTGTAACATCCATCAATGCACGAGTCCAATCAAATCAATAGCACACGATCGATACGATTAATAATCTTGATTTTATTAAGGTAATTGATCCAATAGATCGTAATTAGTCATCTAAAAACTTGTCAAACTGACATCAGTTCAGTGGGATTTCCTATTATTTTATTGGTCGGGTCCCACTTAAGGTAAAATTCGTACGCCACGAAGAATCGACTTGATACCTTGCATCTTGCTTAGTTGGGTAACATCGAACGGCCAATAAAAATGTAAATGGGCCATGAGTAGAACAGCTTGTTAAATGGGCTGCTGCATGTACCGTGCCATGTGGTCCCATATCATATCTCAAGAGTCAAGTCCCAACTCAACTTCCACTTTCCCAAATGCAAATGGTCGTGGTTACTTACAGATCAGTTCAACGAAGAACCAATACCTGCTGACGGAGCAGCTTATGTGACGTAAGATTGGAATCTAGTTAAGTTTTACTTTTAACACTCGTAAACGTAAACCACCCTAATTTCTTCTTCTAATTCCTCCCGTAAAATCGGTAAATGTCTGTCTACCCAGTACCCACAAGCTGAAACCTTTCGCTCCTCTCAACCCATAAATTTATGCCCTTGCCCTGAAATGCTGAAACCTTCTTTAAGGTATGCCGGTAAGCAACGAATTCATGCAACCCTTGAATTCTTCGCCTTACATTCATGTAGGACTCGTGAAAAAGAGTCAGAAGACATACCAGAATACGAAGCTGGACACCAGGACACATCCTTTTGTTGCTCCCATCCTGTTCCTGTCTATCTATGGATTCAACAAAACCAGTAGTTGCATGAACTCGCTTCTTTTAAGCCTGTATGAACTCGTCGTTACTTGTTAGTTGTTACCAGCATTTCTCTTCGCGTTTCAATCATATTCTTTTTTTTTTCCCTTTTTCAACGACCAAAAAGTAGCTTTATCATGCAAAAAAAGAAAAAAAAAAAAAAAAAAACTTCTTTTTGGGTTATGGTTTTATTATATGATACCGTATGTACAAGAGCAACCGCAACCAAACCGTATTTACGGTCTACCAGCAGATAAGAAGCAATCAAGCAAATATCTCATTATAGTATTTTTCATTCAATAAGCAATAACAATCTCCCCGTTGGATCCTCGTTATGTTGGGACTTGGGAGACGTCAGTATAAGGAAGCGGAACATAAGCTGTCGATTTCCCAACCAAAAAGCCGATTGCTTCGTCACTCGCTCTTTCTGGCGTTTGTCGTTATGCCTTATGCGGGAAAAGCTTTTAATTTTCAATTATATAACTTTAATTTTTCAGATAAATATCTAAATAACTAGATAGATCATAGATCATAGCTGGTCTCCTATATCCTTATTTCTTTTGCTCTCTATTAATTTGATTATTTTATCTAACAATTTATTTATTGGTTGAGTGATTTCATTTTATTATCCTGATTCAGTGATTCCAGTCGTCCACAGCACAAGGCCACCACTCTCTTCAAAACGGTTGTTACTACTGACTCTCTCTATTTGGCGTCTCAACAGTTTCTTTTGGGTTGGTTCTCCGTTGAGCTTTCACTTCTTGTCCTCCCTCTCTCTCTCTCTCTCTCTCACTGAAACCTACGAAACACCTCACCAAACCGTCCGAGCGGTTGCCGTTGGTTAGGGTTTCTGAGGGAACTCATTTTAGGGTATTCCAAGAAAGATCCGTCTATGAGGAGGGCCATCTTCCGCTGTTTCTCTTTCTTTCAGTCTACCTGATGCCCAAGCCTTGTTAGTATACACCAGAAGAAGAGGAAAAAGCGAAGGAGTCAGGTGGGCTTTCCATTAGGGTTTAGGGGCTAGATTTCCGAAATGGAGAGGAAGCAGGGGTTCTTCTCGGCATTAAAGGAAGAGGTGGTAAGAGGGTTATCGCCGGCGAGGTCCAGGGCCAGGAGTCCGGCTAGAAGTGCGTCCCCAATGTCTGGACTCCTGAGGCGGAGGAAGCAGTACGTGGCCTATCCTGAGCCGTTGATCGCAAGATCCGGAAGTCTGAGGCCGGTGGGGGAGACACTGACACCATTGATGGAAGGACCTGATCCCGATGGCTCCGACGGTAGTGATTTGAAGAAGGAAGGGTGGGGCCATTGGATGAAAGGCCAGCTCTCCAGGACGCCGTCCGTCTCTTCGTCTCCTTTCAAGCGCTCCGATCTGAGGCTTCTGCTCGGTGTCATGGGTGCACCTCTCTCCCCGGTCCACGTTAGCTCTGCCGATCCTCTGCCTCACCTTAGTATCAAGGACACCCCCATTGTATGTCTCTCTACCTCTCTTACACCTACCCATTTTTCCTTTTTATTTCTTTTAATTACTTTGCGAGTTCTTGTTTATGAAATTGTCCTCTTTTCTTCAGTGATATAAAAAACCATCTCTTCTCTTTTTAATGTGGTTTATTTAGTAATTTAGTGTACAGAGCAATTAGATTTCATTCATTCAATCAATCTTTCGTTTTTTACCTTTTTCTGCTTCAAGTACATGGGATGGGGCTTGTATTCATATCTCGGAGTTTCTGGTTTTTGGAAGTCTAGATCTCCACGAGAGAATGCCTCTTAGGTGCCTTCTTCTATTGTGGTAAAACTTAATGCGGAAGCACTGGTTTTTTTATTTGTTCTTTTTTTATTTGTTATTTTAGCAATCCTTTGTTCTTTGTTTTATAGTTACCATTTTTGTTAGGGAGATTATTTCTATATTTTGTTGGATACTTGGAATTTCTGAGAGAAGGGAAAATGAAAATGGATGTCTCTGTGTTGCGCGCGCTACTTTTAGATGAACTTGGAGTCCAAATATTTGCAGATTTGCGATTTTAAGGCATGCTGTTCATAGCTGGAAAGATTTTATGTGAATTGGGGTGAGGAGCGGGGGGTTCCTTAATGGGCAAATGCCATATAATGTTAGGCCGTGTTGCATAACGAATTGATCCCAATGCGGGTTCTCGACCGTCTACATTACCATTTAGTGAGACCCCTCTGAATCGGGTCAGTGTTTATATTGCAGGAAACATCTTCCGCTCAGTACATATTGCAACAGTACACGGCTGCATCCGGAGGGCAAAAGCTGCAGAGCTCCATTCGCAATGCGTATGCCATGGGAAAGGTCAAGATGCTAGCCTCTGAATTCGAGACAGCAACAAAGGTCATGAAGAACCGGAGCCCTTCACGAGCTGCCGAATCGGGCGGGTTTGTTCTATGGCAGATGAACCCAGACATGTGGTACGTGGAGCTTGCGGTTGGTGGCAGCAAGGTTCATGCTGGCTGCAACGGAAAGCTTGTCTGGAGACACACCCCTTGGCTTGGTGCGCATGCCGCAAAAGGGCCTGTTAGACCCTTACGTCGTGCGCTTCAGGTGAAGTTTTCTCATTTGCTCTGCATCGGCTGTAGTTTGACTTGTTTCTAGCCATCTGTTCTAATTCAGTTGTGGGTTTCAATGTTCTTCTTCAGGGTCTTGATCCAAGAACCACTGCCAGTATGTTTGCTGATGCAAGGTGTATTGGAGAGAAGAAAGTCAATGGGGAGGATTGCTTCATCCTCAAGCTCTGTGCAGATCCACAGACGTTGAAGGCACGGAGTGAAGGGCCAGCTGAGATAATTAGGCACGTCTTGTTTGGCTACTTCAGCCAGAGGACTGGGCTTCTTGTTCACATGGAAGACTCCCATCTTACCCGTATCCAGTCAAATGGAGGTGATGCCGTCTACTGGGAGACAACCATTAATTCATTCCTCGACGATTACAGACCGGTTGAAGGGATCATGATTGCCCACTCGGGACGTTCGGTAGTTACCCTTTTCAGGTTTGGCGAGATGGCGATGAGTCACACCAAGACAAGAATGGAAGAGGCATGGACAATTGAGGAGGTAGCATTCAATGTTCCCGGACTATCAATAGATTGTTTTATCCCCCCTGCTGATTTAAGGTGTGGCTCCATCAGCGAAGTGTCCGAGCTACCTCGTGGAGAAAGAGGAAAGGCCATGGCAGCTGCAGCATATCGGGCCAAAGTCGCTGCACTAGAAAATTCACATGATACCAACCTAGATACTGTTGTATGGAAGACGGAAGTCTAACCAGAAATTAGATAGAGAGGTTAGGGCATGTTGTTCATACAGGTAGTTAGTTTAAATTGACTTGACGTTACAAGGTTGCAAAGTGAGTCGGGAATCATCCGGCATCTGTATATAGAGCATAATCATTCGCAGTCGCAGGTCCTCCTCAGCGCCTGAGCGAATCTTTGTACTCTCCATACAGAATAGGAGTGTTGGGGCTCTCGACTTCCTTGTAGGGGATATGATGGAGCGACGTAGGTTTGTTGGAGCAGATGGAGGTTTGTTTTTTCAGTGTACCTTCCATACACGAAGAGAAGGATAATGGTGATACTTTGATGTGTTAAGAGAGACCACTATCCTTTGATGATTCTACTAATTCTCTTGCCTGAAGGCAATCGTCGGCCTTGGGGGCAAGAACCCAACTGGCGGCCGTCATGGGCTTGGCACTAATTCTTCTCTATGTTGTCTAGTCTTTTAGATTTGTACCGTGTGTAGGTGTGGTTGTTTGATGTAAAAGTTGTTTTGGGGTGTGGGATCGAAAAGATTTCTCAGAGTTGAGAAAAGGGAAATGGGTTGGTTACTAGGGAGGGGAGGCTGAAGGCTGTAACAAAAATTTGGGATTCTAATATTGGTTTTTGTATGGATTTGGAATTTCATCCATTCTGCTGAGATGAGATGTAAACACATGTTTTTCATCAGATATTGAATGCTTGTAGAATTACACATGTTTGTCTACTGTTTTTTGGGTGGCCGTGAGTTGCAGATGCTAGCTAGTCTAAGCTGTTCCTAAATCTCCTTGAATGCTGACTTGTGACTATTGAGATCATCTTTGCAGTGTGCCCCTTGCCTGGTTCCGTGATCTTATCATTTCCTTGATGCACGAGGCAGGGCAAAGGGGACATCTTGGTTATTAGGAAAGTAGAAAGGCAGGCACTAGGCAGTGTTAATTTGGATTTTTGGATTCCATCTCCACTCGGCAGCAGGGATGGTGGTGGGGCTTTTACATTTCAGATTTCAGAACTTAATTTGTTTTCTCCCTCACCAAGTCGCCCTTCTGACCGCTGCACCCAAAATCCAATTCCGGATGAAAATATAGAAAAATTAGAAATGTAGAGGGTTCGCATCGTTTTTAAGGAAAGCTTGCATGAGAAATATCATTGCTTCTCAGGGCACGGGGTTAAAGTCCTCACAAGTACCATCCCTTCCCATGTGATTTTCCTTTTCCCTTTCTTCAGTTTCTGTGTTAATCTGATACGTTTACATGCTTTAGCAGACACTTTCCTACTCTACTCCACTACTATTAATTATTTATTTATTTTTGTATGTAATATTCACCAAGGCAGGCGAAAGAAGTTTCCACCCCCATGATGATGATGATGGTATTCCCCCTAATGGTCAAATTCTCCATTGACAAGGGATTTTAAATTATTATTTCTACTTTTAATTTTTTGTAAGTACTGGTGGGAGGATGTGACATGGGATCATGGCAATGTATACGAGGGGTCTCTCATAAATGTCGATACAAACTTAGACCAACTTTAACCATTGTGCTTCACTTTTCTCCAACCACACCTGCTGTTTTTTCGACCCCCTTTAAATGTTTTGGATTTTTTGTGGTTTGTGACTTGTGACTTGGGTGAAAGCAGTAACTGGTAATTCCATTTCAATTCATTTAGGACATCTATGGTTGCTGTAAAAGATAGAAGGGAGGAGTCTACATCTACTGATTTGTCCCTTTCCATATTCTTTTCAGCACATTAAATGGTATTTTCTCTTTTCCTTTTTAATGATTTTGAGGCGTCTAAAGCAAGTCATCCATCTGTACCATTTGCATGTCTTGCCGACTGATAGGATTGATCTAATCCTTGAGATTCTAGTTTTAAATGTTAAATGCTTCTTTTCTCAGTCCAATAGGCCTAAGTTGGTCAATATTAAAATTTGCATCACGTTTACAGTATCAGAGGATGGGATCCTCTGTTCTGTTCCGTTGTGGTTGATGGAGAACAGAATGAGACTGTTATGCCTTTTAATTAAGTCCAATTAAGTTTATTTATTTTTTTTTATGGGGAATGACATCAAATATCCCCTATAGTTTAATAAATAAAACTGAGTTTCCCAGGATTGAAGGTCACAGATTCTATGTGACTTGCAGTGTGATTCGAGCCCCATAGCTTTTACCTCCTTTTCCTTCTCATCCCCAGGCCTTAACCTACATACAGATGATAATAATAAAACTATATCTGAAAAGACCCATTCCTCAGTCCGTATATTGTATCAAGCATGGCCAGCAACATCGGTGTTTAATTTGACCAAACTTTGAAGGATTGTTGCAAACTCTGGAGTTGGAAAGAAACCTACTTTTTTGTATTTCTATTTTACATTGCTTTGATTCTAATATTTAGTTATTGGTTTATCATCTCTTGTATCCTTCTTTGTCCTTAGGTTTAATGAAGCCGGTTCAGGACTCAGGAGGAGTGGGTATACGGAGATGGCTTACCCATAATTCCGCAAACTAACTGAGCCTCAACTGTACAATCAAGAAAGCGTTGGCATTGCTTGTTTTGTTATTTCTTTTCTTGATTGGTATAAAACTCAGCCTCTTAAAATTTGCTGGTTTATCTACAAATCGAATAGATCTTTTTCCATTTTCTAGACATGTGCATTTCGAAATGTAGATAGGAAGAGCTCCATTTAGGTTTCTCATTTGAACTTTTACTTTTTTTGTGTTCCGCAGCTCTAGAGTTTAGGCACACCCATAAGGCCATAACAGTCTGCCCAGCCTCCTATTTAGTCCTCCTATATCCACAGTATCGACAGCGTCCACCTGCAGGCTGCAACAATGAATTAAAGCCAGGCCCAGGGGCCAATACTATTCAAATGATGCCCTGAAAATCATGGCTGTTTTAAACCGTTTGCCATCATTACAATTATTTTAGGACCATTTAGGTTTTTAATGAGTGTAATCCATCTAAAAGTAATATAATGTGCCCAGCTGTTGATGATGCTTCTTCATCTACTTCAGCTCTGCAATGTCTTGCTCTCACTCTCGCTTCTGTCGCTTATGATGGACTGTTGCTTGGGATGAACTTCGTGGCTGGAGAGGAGAAAATTGAGGGGGGTGAAGTAGTTGATGTCCTTCCACCTTGTTACACACCCCGAATCCACTGCAAAATGCACTCACACCAAAACCCCAACTCTTAAATTTCATGCACTGACAGTGACAGTTAATCCAACTGTTGGTTGGTGGTTTTGGTCGAGGAACCAGTTACATTATTTGGAGACTGTGGTTTCACATATCAGCTAATGATGTCTCCCCTTGATAGTGCTTATAGCTCTTCTTCCATCTGCCAACTGGGGCTGCTATAGCTTCTACGTTAGACTTTTTTTTAATACAAATAGACAATTTTTTTTTTCATAAAATGCTCGATTACAGACGCAGATAGTACAAGCAGAAGAATTATTGGCTCTACCTGGTCGAAGGTATTGTATAGCGTATTTTTCAGTTGAAATTTAAGGTTTAAGATTAGGGTTTAAAAATTTAGGAGTTTAAGTTTTAAGGTTTATAGTTTAGTGTCAGGGTTTATAAGTTTAGGGTTCAAAGTTTTAGGAATTATATATAAAAATCAAGAGGGACTCGGATGCTTTTGTCCCACCAGGGTAGCAGCAAAAATGTACTCCGGCTAGTACAATCAATAAAAGTTTAGCAATGTATGGTGGCTAACTTGTGGATTATTGTAGAAGAGATTGGGGATCAAATGTTCTTGCCAAACTCGGCTTTGATTCGAACAGCCTTTAAGTTGCAAGAAGCTGTTTGAATGGTGTGAACATGGGCTTGCACTAGGGTTTGAGAGGTTATAGGTATGGGGAATGGGCTAGCTCCGTTGTGCAGCCCCAGAAAAAAAAAAAAAAAAACTATCATGTGATTTTGAGTTCTCTTAGGCGTGGATCCATGATGACTTGATTTTACTGGGTTCAGACATTGGTTCCATCAAATAACGTTATCAGAATGTTTTCACTTTCAACATAGCCCAAACAAAACATGGGCAGTCAATTTTGTTCTATTTTGAGTGATTTTAAGTTTGTGACGAGTGATGACATGGTAAATTCGGAGTTAGGCCCCAACCCCATTGCATCTGGCATACCTTACCCACTGTATTCAATTCCTGCCCCCATCCATTTAATCTTTACAAAAATATGTGAATAAGAAATGGGAGCGTATTGGGTTTGGGGATATAGGACCCATAGATGGGTCTGGAGCCCCAAGATTTTGCCTCGCGTCTAGGATTCCAAAGGTTCAAGTCCCACCAATTGAATGAGTCCCCAACTACCACATTGGCTAAGATAAAATCCTACATCCTATGGTTAACACTCAACTGAGCGTATAGATTTTTGGCCCACTTAATTTCTTAGGTGGGGCCGACCAAATGACTTCTTCCGGCTGTAGGCCCTTTCTACCCAAATTTTATATTTTATCAATAAACATTCATCATAAGAAAATTGCAGTTTTGATGAGTTAGTGTGCAAAGGCCAAAGGTCCAGAAAGAGCTAAAATTTACGACCCTATGCACAACTGAAGGTGTGGGGACTGGGGAGTGTCCAATTAGGGGAAATCTTATGTTATTATTACAAATGGACAATACTAAGCAACTCATAACCTCAAGAATTGGCACAACAAACAATCCCTGTTCAAAGTTTGGTATTTTGTGAATTGAAGGTCCGTGACACACCCTAGCATGTTTGTTCTTGGATATAGAAGAATAAAATATCATGTAGAAAGGTGTCTGTTACATATATTGGGTTGCCACCTCAGCTGCCTTGTATGAAAGTTCTGTATAAATAACCTTTCATGACTAAAATTAGCCTTTTTCCATTTAAGCCCGTTATTCTATTGCTAAATTGGGCCCTGCGAAGGATAAAAGGTCCAAGGGTGGGTTCGTATTGCTATTGAATATCACTGCTCCATACAAGCCCAAGCACTAGCACTTGCATGGCGCTTAAAATTTTAGTACTATGATGAATTGGGCCACCTGTTGGTCTGGACTTCACACTGCCTGTAAGCCCAGAGCCGCAAACGTTGGAGGCTCGGCCTTTCTGACAGAAGGTCCAATTAAGTTAATGGGCTGGGCTAGGTTTGCATAGCAGTCAGTTAGTAGAGCTAGTTTACTATATTGTAGGAGTCTTGAATTGGGTATGTTTGATTAGGTCATCTGGGTTAATTATTTATAGGTTTACACCAATAATTGTCAATTGTGTGCTGTGGACTGCCTTTGAGTATTCACAAAAGAACTCTAATAAGGATGCAACTTAAGACCCTAATAAACCTATATTTAGTAGGCATTGTGTATATGTAAAAGTTTACATATCCTTAATATAGTATAACTTGCTCAATTTATGGCATCTAAAATATCAACCACACACGAGTTAGAACAAACAAACTTGTATCTCCATTCAAAATTCACTTCACACAATGTCAGAATTCTATCTCTTGCAGAGTAGCATTTCCTTGATGGCTCAGGCCATTAAGAGGCCTTGTTCACCTTCCATCTACCTGTTCAAGAAAAGCTTAAAGCCAATTCTAAGGAATAATAAGTGGGTTTTCTATCCAAATGCAATTGATCTAAGTCTTCAGACATGTCTAGTTTCCTGTGCGTCCAATGCACAAACTGTAGTGCCTTTTCTTGCGGATCAGAACTTTCTCAACAAGGAATTTGGCTCAAGAATAAAG